CCCTCCGCTCTCCATCCCAGAGGAACTGGAGCCCCCGAGCGCCGCCGCCCCCCAGGACCTGAGGGAGGGGCAGAGCTCCAGCCTGGAGTGCTCCACGCCCTTCGCCTGCCCCTGGGGGGACACCGTCCTGCGCTGGGAGGGACACGACCCCCGCGCCGCCACCCTGTCCGGGCGGCTGCAGCTGGACACCAGCGGGGTGGGCCAGCAGCTGACCCTCAGCACCTCCTTCTCCTGGAGGGACCACGGCAAGAAGCTGCTCTGCGAGGTCTCCCACGGCTCCGGGAAGGCGAGAACAGAGGTCGTGCTGCGGGTGAGACGTACGTGGGGCAGCTCCGTGAGGGGACGGGGGGCAGCTCAGTGAGGGGACAGGGGACACCTCGGTGTGGGGACAGGGGACATCTCACTGTGGGGACAGGGGACATCTCACTGTGGGGACAGAGGTCACCTCGGTGTGGGGACAGGGGACACCTCACTGTGGGGACAGGGGGCACCTCAGTGTGGGGACAGGGGGCACCTCGGTGAGGGGACAGGGGACATCTCACTGTAGGGACAGGGGGCACCTCTGCCACCCCCATGGCACCCAGGCCCCCCTCCCACCACCCACCCCCTTCCCTGTGCTCCCTGCAGGAGCCAGAGCAGATCCCTCCTGCTCCTCCCCCTCTACTGCTCCCCACGTCTCTCCGTGGCCGTGTCACCCCACGGATGTCCCAGTTCTGTGGCACCTCCTGGCACCCACAGCCGTGCCCTCCCTGCTTTGCTGCCAGTGTAGCAGTTTTGCTTCCCTTCCAACCCCCCTTTTCCCTGCACCAGGCCCCAAAAAGGGCTGTGGCAGCGCCCTGTGGGTCCTGCCCACCCTCACCTCCCCCCGTTGTGTCCGTGTGTCCCCCCCCAGACGCCCCCAAGGACGTCCAGGTGCGGGTCAGTCCCTCCTCGGGGAACATCCACGTGGGTGCCACGGTGTCCCTGAGCTGCCAGGTGGGCAGCAGCCACCCCCCCGTCTCGGGGTACCTCTGGTACAAGGACGGGGCCGCTGTGGGCAGCGAGAGGGTGCTGACCCTGCGGGGGGTGCGGCGGGAGGACCACGGGCGGTACCACTGCGAGGCCCTGAACGCCCTCGGGGCTGGCACAGCGCCCACCACCACCCTCCACGTGTTCTGTGAGTGCCAGGGCATCAGGGAGGGGGGAGAGGGGCTGAGTGTGCCCGGCCAGTCCGGAGCGGGGTGGGCACAGGGTGGCAGCGAGGTGGTCAGTGCTGCTGGGGGAGCTGGGGAGTCCCTGGGGCAGGAGTGTGAGGGCTCCATCCTGCCAGCCCTGCACCCCTCACCTCGGGGATCCCGAAGACACGGCCCTGGAGGGATTCCCAGCCCAGCACTGGGAAGGGGGTTGGCAGAGCTTGTGGGGATCCAGAGCCAGGGTGGTCTGGTTTGGGTGGAAAGAGACCTTAAAGCCCATCCAGTGCCACCCCCTGCCATGGGCAGGGACACCTTCCACCAGCCCAGGTTGCTCCAAGCCCTGTCCAGTCTGGCCTTGGACACTTCCAGGGATCCAGGGGCAACCACAGCTTCTCTGGACAACCTGTGCCAGGGCCTCCCCACCCTCCCAGGGGAAGAGGGTCCTCCACCAGATCCTGCAGCAAAGACAAACCCCAGCCTTGCCTGTCCCTGCTGGAGTCCCACAGGGAGCATCTCCCCCCCGATGGGAGTAGGGGGGTCAGTCTGCTCCCCCCAACCCCCCGTGCACACCCCGAGGGCTGCAGGACCCCACTGTCCCCCCCAGCAGTTTTGTCCCCGGCGCTTTGCACTAAAAGCAGAAGGTGCCCTCCCTGCCCAGCTGGGAAGGTGCTGGTGACAGGGGACAAACCCAAACGCCTCCCACCTCTGTCGTCATCCCGGGGGGGGGGCAGAGGGGCTCTGGGATGTGAGGGTTGGGGGTGGGGGTGCCGCTCTCCTGCCTCCCGGGCCGTGCCGACCGTGCTCCCACCCCCCTCAGCCGCAGAGGTCTCGGCGAGCCCCGCGGCCGAGGTGCGGGAGGGGACGGCCACCACCCTGTCCTGCGACGTGCCGGGCCGGGAGGGGCAGGACCTCAACTACACGTGGTACAGGAACGGCGCGTGGCTGCAGGAGGGCACTGCCCACACCCTCCTCTTCCCCGCGGTGGCCGCGGGCGACGCCGGCTACTACTCGTGCCGGGTGGCAAACGGGCAGGGCAGCGACACGGCCCAGCCGCTCAGCCTCAGCGTGACCTGTGAGTGCCCCCCGCCAGTGCCACCCGTCCCAGGGGCTCAGCAAACCCCCAAACCCACGGAGAAGCCTCTTCCCGAGTGCCCCGGGGGCAGCTGGGGAGGGGCGTTCGGCCCTCCCGGTCGAATCCGCCGTAAATCCCGCAATTCCCGGCCGTGAGCCGCGTGGGAAGGGGTTGGGAGGGGGGTTCAGCCCCCCCCCCCGACTGAGTTTGGGGTAAATCCCGCAATTCCCGGCCGTGGGAAGGGGCCGTTTGGAGCCGTTGGTGGGCAGGACCTGCCCGCCCGTGGCAGCATCTCCCGCTAATCTGCTCCAACCGTAAGCTGGGGGGGGTCACTGACCGAGGAGGGGGGGGATAAGAACAGCTCAGGAGGTTTTGCGAGTCAGAGGGAAAATAAAACAACCCCGGGCTTGGCTTTGCCGCGTCTGGGGTAAAAATAACCCGGTGAGGCGGGGGGGGGAGCAGCTGGAGGCGGTGAGGGGACGTGTCCCACCCCTGGAGGTGTCCAAGGCCACGTTGGACGGGATTTGGGGCAGCCTGGGCCGGGGAAAGGTGTCCTGGGCTGGGGGAAAGTGTCCCGGGCCCGGGGGAAGGTGTCCTGGGCTGGGGGAAGGTGTCCTGGGCTGGGAGAAGGTGTCCTGGGCCGGGGGAAGGTGTCCCGGGCCCGGGGGAAGGTGTCCCGGGCCGGGGGAAGGTGTCCTGGGCTGGAGGAAGGTGTTCTGGGCTGGGGGAAGGTGTCCCGGGCCAGGGGAAGGTGTCCCTGCCCGTGGCAGGGGGTGGCACTGGCTGCTGTTTAAGGTCCCTCCCACCCCAAATCAGTTTGGGATTCCACGCGTGGCCACCCCACGGGGACACCCCGAGCTCAGCACCCTCTCCCGTCCCGCAGATCCCCCCCGGACCCCCACCCTGACGCTGTTCCAGGAGACCCAGGGGGGCCGCCTGGCCATCGTCCGCTGTGCCGTGGACAGTCACCCTCCGGCCACCCTGGCCATCGACCGCGACGGCACCGTGCTGGCCACCAGCGGGGCGCAGGTGGCCCCGCCCCAGAGGTTCGGGGTCGCCGCCTCCCGCAACGCCCTGCGGCTGGAAATCCGGGATGCGGGGCCCCGGGACAGCGGGAGGTACCGCTGCACCGCCAGCAACGCCCACGGCAGCGCCAGCGCCGCCAAGGACCTGCTCACCCGCGGTGAGGGACGGCCCGGCCGAGCTCCGGGCGGGGGTGAACCCCCGGGGCTGCTCCTCGGGGCTGGGGGTACCCCCGTGGCACGGGGGGACATCGGTGCCTTGGGGTCCGTGGGGTGGCAGTGCCCTCCCCGCAGCCCTCCCCCTCCTCGGGGGGTTGGAGCAGCTCGTGGAGCTGGAGATGCTCCCGGGGTTTATTTTCCAAAGTACCACGAAATCAGGAGCAACTTTGAACTTTTCTGCCCCGTCGCACCTCCAGGGACTGGGGGGGTCTGGGCACACAGGGGGGCCCTGCTCTGTCCCCTGAACCCCCAGTGTGGGTGGTTTGGTGTGACAGAGGCAGCAGAGGGAGAGAAAAGCCCCCCAAAACCATGTCCAAGAGGAACATCCCTCGGGATGCCAGAAAAACCCAAAATAGACCTCAAGGTCCAATCCCAGAGAAACCAAATCCCAGGTTTGGGGGTCCCAGAGGGGAGTTGGGCTCCGTTAGAAGTGGCCAAGGTGCCACCAGCCCAGCCTGTCACCTGCCAGAGGGCTGAGGGCACCGGATCTGTCCCAGGGGCAGCTCAGGATGAACCGGGATGCCCTGGATGAACTGGGATACCCTGGATAAACTGGGATGCCCTGGATGAACCTGGCACTTGGAGAGAGTTGGGCAGGGTTGGGAAAGGCCCCGCTTGCCTGGCAGAGCACTGGGGTGGAGATGTCCAGTGTCCCCAGGGAATGTCACCCAGTGAAGAGCCCCGGATCCCTCGGGCTCCGGAGCGAGAGGGGGCTCAGGGAAGCTGAGGGCGGTGGGTTTGAGCTGGATGGAGCCCTGGGAAAGGTGAAGGTCTGCAGCAGGGGTTTCTCTCCCTCTCTCCCACCCCTGTCCCTCCCCTCCTGCAGCCGCGGAGCTCCTGGTCCAGCCCTCGGCGGAGGTGCCGGAGGGGACGGCGGTCACCCTGACCTGCGTGGGGACGGGGGAGGCGGCGGGGGAGCCCCTCTACACGTGGTACCGCAACGGGCAGAGGCTGCGGGAGGGCCCGGCCCCGACCCTGCGCTTCCCCTCCGTGCGCGGGGACGACGCGGGCGCCTTCCAGTGCCGGGTGCGGGGCAGCAACGGCAGCGACAGCGGCGCCTCGGGGACCGTCCCGCTCCGGGTGCTCTGTGAGTGCTGCCGGCGGAGCCCGGGGGGTCCTGGGACTGGGCTGGGGGGTCCTGGGGCTGCCGGGGGGTCCTGGGGCTGGGCTGGGGGGTCCTGGGGCTGCCAGGGGGTCCTGGGGCTGGACTGGGGGCTTCTGGGGCTGCCAGGGGGTCCTGGGGCTGGGGGTCCTGGGGGGTCCTGGGGCTGCCAGGGGGGTCCTGGGGCTGCCAGAGGGGTCCTGGGGCTGGGCTGGGGGGTCCTCCGCTGCTCCCACCCCGGGGGTTCCCCCCTTACCACCGAACGCAGCCAAGGATCGCTCGGGCAGGAATGTGGAGAGGGTGGAAAATTCCCTCTGGCGGGTAAACCTGTGAATCTGGGGGAGGGGAAATCTGGGGACATCCCGAATTCCCGAGATTCAGAGAGTTTTAATAACAATTAGTGTTTTAAGAACAATAAACGATCGTGGAACCATGAACGGTTTGGGTGGGGAGGGATCTTAAAACCCCACCCAGTCCCGCGCCGTGCCTTGGGCAGGGGCACCTTCTGCCATCCCAGGGTGCCCCGAGCCCCGTCCAACCTGGATGCCCGGGAGCAGCTCACGCGGCACCGGGGAAGCAGCAACCCCTTGGGTTCTGGGGGTTCTCCCGACCCCGTGGATCCAGAACATTCTCCCCGGCGGTGTTTTCCCCCCGCAGACCCCCCGAGGCCGCCGGTGCTGAGCTCGTTCCTGCAGAGCCCGGGCGGGCGCCTGGGGATCCTCCAGTGCTCCGTGCAGAGCGACCCCGAGTCCAACCTGACCCTGCGCAGGGGGGACGAGATGGTGGCCTGCACGGGGGGCTGCCCCCCGGCCCCCCGCGTCCGTGTGACCCCCTCCTACAACAGCCTGAGGGTGGAGATCCAGGACGTGGTGCTGGAGGACGAGGGCACCTACGTGTGCCAGGCTGGGAACGCGCGGGGCAGCGCCAGTGCCGCCGTGGAGTTCAGGGCTGACAGTGAGTGGGGAGGAGGGACCGGGCACGGGAGGGAGGGCGGTGGAGGCCACAAGTCCCCACGGCATCTGGGAACGCCCTGGGAGAGGGGAGCCCGGGAAGGGAATGCCAGGGAAGGGGACGAGCCCGGGGGGGTGCCGGCAGAAGGACGGGAGGAGAAGAAATGAGCCACGTGCCCGTGAAATTCGGGTGTCCAACGGCTTCTGCCTCCAGAAACTGTCACGAACGGGACCTTTGGGGCAGGGCTGGAGAGTGAGTGGGTTTAAAGAGGGGATTGTCAGCCCCTCCTGGTGGGTTTGGAGGCTCCCGAGGCCACAGCAATGGTTCCATCCTGGTGGGGATTGTTCCAGCCCCCGGGTGGGGATTGTTCCAGCCCCTGGTGGGGATTGTTCCAGCCTCTGGTGGGGATTGTTCCAGTCTCTGGTGGGGATTGTTCCAGCCTCTGGTGGGGATTGTTCCAGCCCCTGGTGGGGGTTCCCTGCCTGTGTGTGACAGGGACACTGATCAAAATGCGGCCAAGGGAGTTCCCAAGGGCCCCCTCCTGCAAGGACCCCATCCCTGGGCTGGTGGCACCCCACTGCCGGGCTCAGAGCTGTCCCTGCCACGGCACTGCAGGATCGGCTGGAATTTGCCCTCTGGAGTAGCCACAATGCCCCTCGGTGACATAACCCCCTTGGTGACATAACCCCCGTGGTGACATAACCCCCGTGGTGGCACAACCCTGGGCTGGCTTTGGGGGGGGTTGTTCACCCCAACACTGACACCAGACTCCGTTTCCCCCCCAGCCACCACCGTCACCGTGTCCCCCTCATCCCGTGTGCTGGAGGGCGACAGTGCCAACCTCACCTGCCACCTGAGCAGCGACTCCCCGGCCGTGCCCAACGTCACCTGGTACCACAACGGGCAGTGGGTGGCCGAGGGCAGCACGCTGGTGCTGGGGAGCGTGTCCAGCGCCCACTCGGGGCTGTACCGGTGCCAGGCCAGCACTGGCAGCGGCACCAGGAGCTCCCCGGACGTGCTCCTGGATGTGCTGTGTACGTGCGGGACCCCCCGGCACCCCCGGCCTGGCGGGGATGGGGGGGGATGCCCCGGACATGGCACGACCTGTGGATCGGGGTGCCCAGGGGAACTGGGGCTGCCCCGTCCCTGGCAGAGCCCGGGTTGAGTTGGAGCAGCCTGGGATAGTGGGAGGTGTCCCCGCCCACGGCAGGGGGTGGCACAGGGTGGGATTTAGGGGCCCTCCCAACCCAAACCATTCCGTGATCCCGTGAATGGACTTGTGTCTGGGAAGGGGTGCCCAGCTCGGTTCACACGTGTGGCAGTGCCCAGGCCCTGGGCAGAGCCGATGTGGGCACGTTTTGGGGTCTCTGGGCACTGATCTGTGTCCTGGGAACCTTCGCTTCCCAAGCCTCAGTCCCTCTGGGCCACTGTGTGCAGTGACTGTGCATCCTGTAGGGCAGGAGTGTCCTCACCGTGGGTGTGGGGTGGGATCCCTTTTTCTCCTTTCCCCTTTCC